CCCCCCCCCCCCCCCCAAAAACAGCGAATATATGAATCCTTTTGGTTTTGTTCATTAAAACAAGAAGTGAAATATTTTTCAGTATTTTACTGAAAAAGGCTGAAAGCTAGTCTTTTTGTTTTCCTAGGGCTATTTTTTGTCAGAAGAGGTCCCTGCATTGGGTCATTGCAAAAGTGCCAGCTCAAAGGAAGGAGTACAGTAGCCCCAATTTACGTTAGCTTAATCTATTCCTAGACAGCACCCTTAGTTCACCATCTTTTGCGAGTGCTACAAGCACTGTGGGTGAGAGCTACTGCGTCAGCTAAGATCGTATTTGTTTATTAAGTATCGCTTAGAATAAAGACTTACGTCTTTGTTATATCTGTTTAACTGTAACCTAAATACCTGAGTCTTTTTTTTTTTTCTTTTTTTTTTTTTTCACTGTTGAGCCTATCTAATGATTTGGGACAGGGTGGATGAAGAATTAAGGTGGTGAACAGGGTGAAGCGTGACCTTAAAGAGAGGCGATCAGAATATGCAGGCATTCTGGAGTGATCCATACCATATCACATCCTTAAAAAGCTTGGGGACTGGGAAACTTCCCTGCCAGTTGGCTATCGTTGGGGGGCTTGTTTATAAAGCTGTTGAGAGAGAGTAGTCTCCTAGTTCTCGCTTTCCCTGAAGTGTCACTGTGATACTCTACAGCAGCTAGGTTGTCTCACATACATGTAAGGAGAAACGAGCCAAAAGCTTAATGAATATTTTATATGCCTTTTGTCTCGAGTTTTTCTCACATTCTTCTTTTCTTTATCTTTTATTTGGTCTAGTGTGCTTGTAAATAATGCCCTGAAATGATTGTCTTTCAGTCTTAGAGATGCAGATTGTCTGTCACCCCAGTACTAAACTGCTGGATTGTATTCTCTGTTCATGTTTAATAGAAATGTGGGGTCTTTTCTTGCAGAGAATCTTCAAGAGGACCCTGAAATCTTAAGTTTTCCAAATTTAGTCTAAGTAGATCTTTCAGATGCCTATATCTGATGTTAATTATTGTTAAAGTTTTGTGTCATGTATGATGTTTATTTTTTAAATAACTTTAGTTCACCAACAACAGCACTGAATTGTCCGACTCCTGGGACTTACAGAATTAAACCAAAAGTAAAGGTTGAGGTAAGCTGTGAAAAGAAATTGTGAGAAAATTAATTGTCGTCTGATCACTATGCGATCACTGGTCACTGAGCCTTTGGACACAAGGATCCGTCACAGCATCCATAGCCTGTTGCATAATGGAGCTCCAGAGTTAAATATGCTAATTACAAAATAACCTAAGTCTATATGTGTAAAGGCTGTGATGAAAAACTTCCAAATAAGAATGGAGTTGGACTAGTGTAGTAATGGTTTGTTTCCTTCCAGGCTGAATCAACGAACTGTGAGTTTTTGGATAGCATCCTTTATTTTAGTGAAGTGATAATCATTTTACACATATCCCTTTAACATCCAGTTACTCTGCTTGCTCTGCAGACCTACTCGCTTCCCGTGTCTTCTCTGATGATAAAAAGCAGCTGCTTCCCATCTAGCTGCAAAAAACTCAGCTTTTTCGTAATAGTTTTTCTAACCAACGTTGAGTATTTTAATAGCAGATTCTGTAGCATGATAAAAGCGAAAAAAAGTATGGGACAATGTTAAATGATTTTAATCTCAAATTAAATGAGAGATAAAAAACATAGTGCGGATGCTATTCATTTTCTTACTAAGTTTGGCAGAACTCTTGATTCTTAAATGCATTTGTAACAAGAACAGTGTTTCCTGCTTCTTACGTTGGAATGGCACAGATTACATGGATATTGTCACAGATTTTCATTGCGTTTATCAAAGAAATCTTAGGATATGACTAACTGGGATTTTTTCAGTCTTTTGTAGAGAATGTAATCAGTAGGTTGGGAGATTGGAACTGAAGAAGTTCATGTAGCATCCTGGAGAGAAGAAAAGATATTGACAAAACTTGACATTATCCCTTTTGTTGATTAAATGCCCAGAAAGAATCACAGTATCTTTTTAAGAGATTAAGGAAGTTTGCAATATACTGTTGAATCCCTATTCATTAGATAAGGCTGTTAACAAAGAAGTGAATGATGTTAGGACTGTGTCCCCTTGTATACCTCCATTTAAGGTGGCACAGAAACATAGATAGGCTGCATATATACAGTGCCTGCTAGTCAGAATTGATCTAATATACAGAGTCTTTTAAAAAAAACTCACGTGAGAAATGTCACTTAATGTTATGCTTTCTGAGATGGAATTGCTGCAAATTACTTCGTGAACATCATAGCTAATTTTTGCCTATTCATTTGTGTCCTCTTAACTGTCTCTTCTCCTTATGACCCGTTCCTAATGCAAAACCTCAGTTCCCGCTCACATATTTCACCACGCCCTTTTCGTCTAAATGACCCTAAGTCTTACCCATGTGTTCAAACTCTCTTCTCCTTTCCTTATTTCCATTTCCCCCCAGTATCTCTTGAGTCATTCTAGAACAGATTCTGCTGCTGTCATTGTGGACTGCTGGTTGAACAAGAGGTAGCAAATGCTGTGATGAATCCTAACCTACGTAATGAATCCCAGCCTACCTACGCAATGACTGGCCAAGACTTTTCAGACCTTCTGTTTTCAAGCATGTTTGTGTATTTGTAAATAATCTCACTGAATTCAAGTAGAGTAGTCATAAATCCAAGTTTTTTCTGTAAGTAATAAAGCATTATATAAATGCGTTTATAGATATTAGTAAAATGTCAACCAGTAAGTTATATTAGGAAGGCAGCATATGAAAGTAAAACAAGTTTCTGTCTTCTAGACGTTTGAGGATAAAGAACGGTATTTGCCTGCTTCTGACCATTCTCATTGTTTCATGTGGTATATAACAACAGCTCCACAAGCAAGCAGGTAATGTTTTTTCTTTGTGAATGTTTTTGGAAATAGATAATTTAATAAAAACGTTTTCTAACAGGGTACTATTGTTAATGATCTGCCTGAAGAAATGAAAAGCCTGTCAGTGTCGAATTTATGAATTTTAGCAAATGTTGGGTATTACATAGAGATATGTTTGGGTCAAACTGAGAACTCCATTTTGTATGTTGGTCTCATTTGAATTCTTTGCTCTCTTTTGCTTCTTCTGTGTTGAATTAAAATCCATGGGAAGGGAAAAGAGAAGCTTTTGTAGTTAGCACAGGTCTAAAAATTAAGGATATTGAAGTATTGATTCAGACGTAGCGCTGAACAAAAATGTAGCCATTGCGCAAGGTAAAGCAGCTTTTCAAGACAGAATTGCAGAAGGGAGCTAATGAGCAACAGATTACAAAGGAAAGGGTATATTACTCACCTAAAGAGACAGGCTTGGAAGAACATATGTCAAAGAGGCCTGAAGGTTATAGAAGAACCTACTATCTAGTGTAGAAAGCAGGAGGATTTTGATTGCAGAGGCCAGAAGAACACGTTTCTTCAAAGCAGTCATTATTGTAGAAATAAGAGTATCTTGGATTACTGTTACAGGGTTCTAAAGAGTGTTCAAGAGAAGGGAGCAAAATGAGGAAGGGACTTTATTCTTTTGTCTGTATCTGTGTATTTGTTATGCTCACTAAAGTAATGATTTTTAAGCCTTATAAAGTAAACGTGTCTGTCTTGCTCTCTCTCACATGTCCCTGAAAAGGTATACATCAGAATGAAGTTGTATCTGGAAAGCGTGTGCTCAAACAAGTGGGAATTAAAAAAATAATTGGACAAAAGGTGCCACTTCTGCGAAGCTGTGGCATACACAGAGCCTATGATCTTGAAGTGTGCTAGGCAGATGAAGAAAACAAGAGTAGTAAGGTTTAAGAGCGCATATTTTAACATAGTAACATCAAACAGGAAACCCTGGTAGTTGTCAGTCTAGGAAGCCGTACCAGAATTTGGTCACTTTACATTCAGAAGCACTGGGAAATGATTATTATCAAACTTATCTTCAAACTTTTCTGAAAAAGCTTTATAGATTTTTCTGAAAAAAACAGCAGTTTTTAGCCTAAAATTTGTATTCCACCTGTTTGACCCATGGAATTCGCTGGTATTTGGCTTGCTTTATTTATTTAGGAGGGAAATCTATAATTCTAGTCAGGAATATTTTTAATGGCATGTTTTGCTTACAAAATATGTATACAAAATCCTATTTCTGTAAACACAGTAGAAATAAATAGCAGTAGCTTGAATTTTAACAGTTTTTGAACCCTTCCGGTAACTTCTGTGTACTGCAAAGCATCGTCTGTGCTTGCTCTCAAAGCCATAGAACTGTTTTATCTCTTTTTATGTTTCTAATAGGCTAGTCAGTCCCCTTTTTTTTTTTTTCCTGTCAATCCCAGGGTAAACTTTCTTGCATGTTTTCTGTTCTGATTAGTGTTAATGTTGCCCGAGAGTGTCTTCCTATAATTTCCAGATATTATTGCATAAAGAAGCAATTAAATACATTTATTTTTATTTTGTTGGAAGGAAGAGGCTGAATACGGTTATCAAACTGAAATAAAATGTGATTGACAAGAAGCCACAGACAGCCTCAACAGCAGCAAACATTATCTCCCATCCCAAAATAATTACAGATCAGACGACTTTTTTTTCTCTTGTACTTCAGTCACACTAGTTAGAATTATTTATGTCTTTGCCTGAAAACTGAAAATTTAATTTGGAAGCCACAGGGATTTCTTTCAGCAAATTTGAAGATAATTGGTAGATTTTTAACATTTTACTTGAGTTGTTACTAAAACATGCTTCTATGTTATAAACTCTAATCCTTGTGCACAGTTTATTTTTTCCACTTAAACTGATGGGTGGATTCTTGACTTCTTTTGAAGGCAGTGGATTTTTTTAATCAATGATTTCGTTGGAACTGAGGTTTTGTCCAGGAGGTTAAATGCGGTTTGATGTCATGCAATCCTAATACTATTGTATTTCTGACATTCAAGACACAGCAGTTTCCCTGCCTCTGCCTCTCGAGTCACAGCCCTTGGAACTTACCCGTTCCAGCTGCAGCAAGAGCACAGAAGACTCAGGCCCTAATTCTAATGCAAACAGCACTTTGCTCCTTGTCATGCAATTACAAAGAGGGACCTGTCCCCCATCAATATTGGACAGAGGGAACGTTCCCCTGCCATAGGGCACGACATAGTCTCCATAGTGCAGCTTGATGGAGAGGTATCCTGCCTTGCAATTTAATTTTACTTTAATCTGATAACTTCAAATAAGATGATCTTTAACAGAAGAATATGTTTCTTAAATTAATACATATTTTTGTAAGAGAAAAGCTGCGTTATTTCTAAAAAACAGCATTTGAAAGATGGCTGAAATGTGTTTTAAATGAGAACCATCAGCAAATATGGATGTCTCTCTTTAAATATTGAAATATTTATGCTGCAGACCAGCCAAAGCCAGTATGTTAAACACATTATATTATAACATGTTCTAGACACTATATATATATGTCTCCTGCAAGCAGATTGATTTAAATTGTGTGAAATAATTTTATTAGATAAAAACTTTTTAATGGTAATTTCAAGTAATATATAATTTGTTTTGTCTCTACAGAACAGATCCACTCTCAGTAAATGAAAGCCAGGTAAATTTAAGTTTGGCTGTGTCCTTTGACTGTATATTTTAATCTAGGTATTCTCCAGATCTTTTCTCACTTTCATGAAATGCAATTTTGACATGAATTCAGGCTGATTAAAGGCAGACTTTGGCCAGCCTATTATAGATTTCTTTGAATTTGTGTGCTTGTTTGAGAGCTTAAAAATGTATGTCATACAATGAATCTGATTAAACGCTCCATTGGTACAGTAAACTGCTGTGACCTATGCTCTTGTTTATAAAATTTATTATTTCACAGCATCTGCCAAATTTAATATAATTTAATGTAAACGGACTACAACATAAATTATTTCCTACTTCATCATTCCCTTTTTGTTGGAGTGTGAGAGAGATTGTGATCATATGGGAAAACAAGGAAACTTTAAAAAAAAAAAAAAAAAAAGAAGGGGTCATTACTTAGAAATTGATTTCAGGGAGCTGCTGCCTAAGTAGTGTGCAGCCTACCGAAAATGAACTCCACAGCTGTGGAAGCAAACTTATGTTCTCCCTGTGTAAGTTCTTCTACTCAGACACCTCTGAGAAAGCAGCTATATGATTACTTAGCTTGCCCTGTTCTAAGGACAGATTGCAAGATTTGGCATTTTGCTTTGAGTAGATGAGTAAGAAACCGCAGGATGTGATCTGCACTTTTAGCACATCAGCTGCTTTGTGAGACACCCTTATGCTGTAGTACTTTGTGGTAAATGTGGTGAATGTGCCTCACTGACTGATTGTTCTCTTTGCATGTACCATGAGATGTGTTTGTTGTTTTCCTGACTGAAAGACCGATATAGTCAGCTGTTTGGCAGTCATGGAAGCATACATGATACACATTTTAATAAAAGCTTTGTAACATCTCCTGGACAAGAAACAAGTTCTGATCGTTTTTAACAGGGAGTAACCCCTCCTTATCTTTCATCCTGCCCTACAGCAGCACAGGCGGTATATAACTGCGTAGCCAATGTAGATGGAGAGGGTCTGAAGAAGGGCTTCTGAGGGAAGAGTGAAGGCATCAGAGGGGAAAAAAAATCTTTTGTATGAACTCTTGCTCATTTCCCCTTTATTGCTGAGGAAGGAGGTACTGCTTCCCTCAAGTTTTTGTTGCATGTTGACATCAACAGGAAGCAAAGCATGTAAAATTATCTTACAGCATAGGCATTGCATAAGTTAACATAATTATTACATTATCTTATGTGTTGTCACAAGAAGAAATGTTATCATGGTGATAGAATATTAGTGTTAGTAAAATATCAGCTTGCTTTTTTTTTTTTTTTTCACTTGTTAGGAGTTAATTTTATGGGTATACGATCCTGAAAATGCAGATGCTTCTGAACTGAGCCACACTGCAATTCTTCCTTCACAAGTACGTCGAAGTGATGCCACTTAAGAAAAAGTTAAAATGCATGTCTCGTGAAAATTTACCAGTCAAAAGTGGAAATGTCATATTGCAATGTACTACCTGTACCCATCTTTATTTATTTCACTTTACTATATTGAGGAAAATAAATTTGCAGGATTTTCTCTGCTGTTAATACTGCAGCAGTAATACAGGTATAAAGAGTGAAGTGAAACCTATTGTGCGTTTCACAGAGATAGAATAATTAGCAAGCTGGAGTAATTCAGTCAAATTTTAGTCTTTGCAAAAATTGTATTCGGAATTAGTATGTGACAGATTAATATGTGACAATTGAACACAAGTCTGGTTTTTTTCCCGATTTCCTCATGCATCTGCATAGCAAACTATTAGAAAAAATGTTTAAACAAAAATTGTGGAAGTCCTGGTGTATGATAAATAGGGATGGTACCTCACTGATTTAATTAAGACCTAAAAAATTCAACAACCCTTCTGTACAAACTCATCTGCACAGATAGATCTTGGGAGTGAAAGGGGACCATTCATGGAATTATTCCACATGGATTAGTTGTAGGGATTAATGTGTAGAATAAGTTTTATCTGGATTGGGTTTCTGATCTAAATGAACTGGCAGAAAGTATTTAGTCTTTGGTATGGCGCCTGAGATGAGGTATGTATGCATGGCACCCCAATTTATTTTAGAAATTACTTTTTTATTTTGTCCTTATTATATCTTTTAATGTTTTTTTCTATTTTTTTTTAATAGTTGACATGTTTAGCTTCCATGCCAAGGCATTTTTATTAGATTACTAGGTGGTAGGCACGTGTTTCTGTTTTCCACCTGCTGCTATGGAAAGAACGCAAAGAAAACTGAATTTGGCTCTGAGTGCAATATATTCTAAAATGAATAGATTGAGTAATAATGATTCTAATGGTATGTCATTGTTTGGAAATATATTTTATAAAATTAAATTTCATTCTAACTTCAGAATTTCGAAAGAGAGAGGTTCTCAGCAGCAGGTGAATCTATTTTAGATCTACTATTCATTGATGTGATGCTGGATTTGAAATTAGAAATGGCCATACAGCAACCAGTTGGGTGAAAAATGTGTTAAATAATAACTTTTATTTCATTTAAACAGAGTTCTCAGGAACTCAGCAAGCTGTTCTGGAATTTGGGACAGGATCCTGTTGTTCATACCTATTTAAAAAAAGACAAGTACTATCCTCAGGAGTATCTAGACTTCGGGTACAGTATCTTATTTATATATTTTGATGGAATTCCATTCAAAGTTATTTTACAGTCATGACTGTACAGACAGTTGTTGGTAAGTAGATACAGAAATAACAGTTAATATTAAGTAGTTTGGTCATTTTTCGTGTTTATTTTTTAATTACACTGTAGTAAGTAATATTGGAAGAGTATTAGGACACCTGTTAATTCAGCTGTAAGTAAGGATTGTATACCACACACCCACAGAGACCATTTAAAGAAAGAAGGATATAGTGCCCAAAGAACTTGACAGTTTCTTTCTAACCATTTTGCAGCATAGAAGGGGTAAGATAATTGCGGAAGGACAGATGCTTCCAAGCCCTCAAATTGGTAGAATCAATCCTGTGCATTTCGGAGTACCTTAGGGAAAAGCCTGACCTCTGCCAGAAGATATAATCTTTTCTATTTTCATGATTACACAGCGCTTCTGTTGGTTGATAGCAAATCAGAAACAACTTCCAGATTTGGGGCAACTTTTAAGTACCTGACTTGGAAAACACAAGGAGACCCATATATCCTTTTAGAGCTTGTGCAGCCTGAGATCACTTCAGCTCAAAATTACCTTTGAATATTCTCTTGGTGTCCTCATATGGCTGACTATGGCCATATCTGGGCCTCCTTTTTCTACATTGGAGTAACTTTTGTGCTTCAGTAACAACCTGCTCCTGTTTTTTTTCCTTTTCCTTGAGAAATGAACTTGTCATCTGCTAGCTGGGTTTATCTGCCATTTGTTCCTTTCACCATAGTGCTTAAAACTAAGTAACCGCGTAAGCAGGATAAACTTAACCGTTTTACAGAGCTAAATATCTGTCGTCGTTTTTAAAGCATTTGTTGTTACATAAGCCTTTCAGTCTGTACAGTTCACTGCATGTAATTGTTCTACTTCATATGTATAGAAGTCCGTGGAATAAGGACCAAGATTGGACTCAAAAATCACCTACAACTTTTACTGTAGTGGTCTTCGAGTCCTACTGGTTAAGTTGTAGGTATCAGCTCAAAGTTCAGCGTCCTGCCATTCAGGCGTGATACTCAAAACTTGCGTGTCGAACACATCATCCTCATTTAGAAAAAAATGTTGCCTAGATATTCTTCTTCACCGTTCTCTAGACTTCTAAGTGGTGGTGTACTTTTTTCTGTTATGTGCTGATGTTTCAGGCCTAATTTAAAAAAAGAAGTAAGATAGCTCAGGTGGAATATCAGGTTCAGTTAAACTTCTTCCAATATCTCTGCTAGCTTGCTCAGGATTGAGTTCATGTATTTGTACAAAACACCAAAATTTAGACATTTTCTCTCACCTCTTTGGTGAAGAGTTCATCATTTTCTGTCAGCCATCTAAGAAGGATTAGCTATAGCCCTTAGTGGTGATGAGCAGTACTGGGGCAATAGCAGTGGTAATATAGTTCTGAATATGTGCGATAAAAATTACATCCAAAGTATGAATCCTCCTTATAATGCTTGTTTATTTCCAGTCATGCTCTAACTGGGGGGGGGCGCGGTATTCTGCATGAGAAATAGAAAAGTAAGGAAGTGGTGCTTGGAAGGTGAGGGGAAAGAGGTGGAAATCTCAGTGCCTCCTTGTACTACAGCATGCACCCTCGGGTGACATTCATAAGAACTTTTCTTAAGAATATTGTATAGGATTTCAAAGCATGAATCAATTTCTTTTCACAAGCAGCAATGTCCATTTTCTAATAAATAAGAAAAGGCATTATGTTAACATCTTGGTGGTCTGGACAGTCACAAACAGGCAATTTGTTTATCCAGACAAACCTGACACTTGAAAAACTTCTTGGGACAGTGCCGTCCCATGTCAGTTCCTATCCTTTCTATAGTGACCTTTCTATAGCGCTGGAGCCCATCATGAAACACTTCTGCACTGTTTTTTCTAGTATTTTGGGACAATGAGTATTAGTTCTAATATAAGGATTCTCCCGCTGTCCATTCCTCTACTTTTCCTTTCTAAGAGTATTTACTACACAGTGCTTTGCAATGTAAAGTGAAAACACAGCAGGCTAGAGGTGACATAAATTCATAGTTTTCATTTGATTGTGAGTTGATCAGAAAATAGGTTAAGTGGTTAAATAATAGGAATATGCATACAAGGAGGTATGTGTAGCAAACTTATTTGTCACCAGTTTTGTGATCTATAAGCATAAAATTTTATTCTGCATAAGCCTTTTGTGAAGCTAATCCAAATACCTCAGAGCTAAATTTTGACACAGAGGTACTGAGAATGACTCTGGTTTACGTTTTATGAGAGGTTCTTCTTACTGCATATTTCTTGCAACATATTTACCATCTGTCTCTTTGATACTTACCCTTGTTTTATGCTCTCTCTGAATACCCAATTAAAACAAGTTACATTGCTATTTTATGACTTTTCCTTCTTTTCTAAGTTTGCTTGTAGCCTGTAATTAGTGCTATTTATGATACTGCAAGAAACGGATGTGACTTTTAACAGGAGCAGTAGCTGCTTATGGAACTTTGGTTTGTGCTTTATCAGTTGTATCTTTCTATTTGATCACTAGATGGCAACATAGCAACACCTCTTATCAAAAGTTGCTGTAACCGCACAAGGGCTTTTTCTATCACATTTTTCACAAAGGAGCTAGAATAGTCTCCAAGAAAAAGAATATATATATATATTCTGGCAATGTCAGTAAATTGTTTCTCAATGATGTGAGTGCTGGTATAACTTTTTTATCTCATTAGCTGCTTCTTTTTCAACTGAAGTACAGAGTAATCAGGTAAGAGAAAGTAGAATCTGCTTCATTTTTTTCTTCAAATAGGGAGGAGAAGCTATTGATTAATCTGAATTTTCTCACACATACACCTGGCTGTTTTGTGGAAACACCTTTTATTGCAACCAGTGGCACTTGTGCTCACATCTGCAGGAACAGAATTTGCATTTCTTCCCCCTTTCCAAATATTCCTCTTTTTGAGAGAAGTCTAGAAGTTAATAAATCTGTTGATAATAAAATACTGAAGTAAGTTTTAGGTGAAACAACTTGTGTTCAGGAATTATGTGCAAGACTCTCCTCAGCATCACTTTTGAGAGTGCTGAACCCACATAGTACTTCAAGTTCTGGTCAGTCTGGACAGGATGTTGTGGGGAAGTCGTCACTAGATATCAGGGTATGAAAACTGAAATTTTAAGCTCAGTTTTGCAGGAGTTACCTATTTTCTAGTGAAATGAGAGGAAAAGAAACAAAACCAATCTTAACTGAGCTACCACTTCTTTTACTTTTGGGACTTTGAACAGATGCACACTTTTGCTCAATATTGGCTAAAAAATCAGTGACAGGCTATTAAGCTTCTTCAGTCTCCTCTGTAGGCCAACAGCAGCTTCTTAGGGAACTCAGACAGTTTGTAGGAACAGGAACAGGTTCTGTCCTTTAACACATTTTTTTCCAGAGGCCAAAGCTAGGAAGCCTATACTCCTCCCATGCCTGCTTTTTACTGAGCTATATTTTTCCATTTTTATGTTCTTTTCAGCCCTGCTGTATCCTGAATGTAGTGAAACAGAATTGTTTGGGCCCTGATCTTTGAACAAGTCATCTTCAGAGAGGTTTGCCTTTGGTACCCTGTCACATCCCTTATAATCCTTTGTATTTCATCAACCACTCATATTATGCCACCTGAAATTAGGGAATTAATTCTGAAAAACTGAGCAGTTACGATTAATTGGAAAAATAACAAAAATCATTTCTCTGTCTTGATTAGCATGCATTATCCACTCTCTGTGTTTTTCCTGGGAATGTCAGTTACTGTGGAGGATTTGAGGAGGAAACGTCTAAAGTTTCAAACTCACTCCAGACTTTGTATACTGGAGCTACTAGAATATGTCCATATCACTGTATATCCTAATAAAGAGACAGTAATACAGAGACAGGTATACTACATATCCATGACTGGGAGAGCCACACAGATTTTTGGTCTCTGCATGGAATCCATTAATTAATGGATTAATAGAACTCCTTAATGAGTCCATGGAATACACTGACCATGGAAAAGTGAAGCATCTAAGTGTAAGGATCTAGATTTACATGAATTGATGATTTGGGTATGATTTGGGTTTTTTTATCTGATTCTGTAAGCTAGTTGTTTACCAAGCAGCCTGCTTAAATTTTCTGCTGTCAGTGCTTGAACTTCTGCATCAGGGATGCTTGTGTAACTGCCAATGTGACGCATACATTCTCACACACTCAGTCTGTAAAAAATTAAGTTTTTTTTTTTTTTCTGTTGGGATGACTTGTTCCATTTCCCTTTGGAGAAAGATAAAGGTGATGAAATGCAATTTATGTTGCATGACTCCAAAACAGGTCTTCTTCACAAAGACTTAGAAATTCTCAAAATTCATGACTATTTCGGCTGTCAGGTTTGCCAGTCTGCAGGATTTATAAAGAGCCTAATCCTACAAGTAGGTTATCTTTTTTAAGCCATGTTTTATCTTATTGCTTATCAACACAGCTCTTGCTGATTATCAGTGGCCCTGATCACCGTCTGCAACATGTATGGGTCTGATGTTAGTTCTTGTTGATCAGCTTTGTTCTTTGAGCTATGCAGAATGTGCAGGAGGTTGTGGGGAAGGTGAGGAAGAAGGTGGCCTCCGTAATAGTGAATGCTGTATTATTGCGTGGAGTTGTAACATTATAACCATTCATTTTTAACTCCAGATATTCTTGTTTTTCTCAGTCACATCTTTCAGAAATGCGCAGTTTCCAGACAACACTGAGATACAGAATATACCTGCTTTTGTAAGTTTAGAAGTTAAAATCTAACTGCAGGCAAATTCTTGTCTTTGTCTCCCCGTTCGTCTTCTATCTTGTGGAGTTAGAAGAAAGTTAGGATATAATTTTGTACCACTGTAGCTGGAAGATGGAGCTTTTGTGGATACACAGCGTCTCTATCCTGAAGACAGCTGCACTACCCAAATAGCTAATTCAGGACCTTGATTGTAGGTGCAGTTCTTCTAAGAATGTGACATAAGTCAAATCACGTAGCTGAATTTGTTTCAGTGACCTCAATGGTAAGGTTTCATCTTGCAAGTTTATCTGTTGTTTCTTCCATTTTCAGATTATGGACAGTCAATGTACCTGCAGTACCAGAAGACATCATAATAAATATACATGGAAAGGCAATAGCATTTCAGGAATGCTTTGTTCTAGATACTCCCTTTGTAATTCCAAGGCCTAAACAATCATTTCCTAGCAAGAAAAATGCCATCTCGCTCTGTTCCTCCAGTAATAGAGACATCTCCATTACATGGTCTGCATGTTTTCCAACAACAGCTGTTTTATTATCAAATTTTGGAACTTTCTATACAAATGATGGATTCAAAACTTACGGAGAAATCAAAGTTCCTTCAGATGCTTTGACCCAAGACCTAAATAATCATGTAACTGATGTGGCTCTAACCGTTAATGGAATCTTATTTTTAATAAATGGAAGTATTTATAAAAGAGAATCTGCTATTTTTTTTAAACTTGGGGCAGAACACAAGCTTCCTGAAACAGAAATAACTGGAATACATTCAAGATACTGGTGTTCATCTATCTATCCACTGCAAGTAAGTTATCTTTAGTTCTCATTTAACTCTTGAACTACAGATGCTCTTCACTGAATGTCTGGATGAATCTATTTTAGATTTACTTTTCACTGAGGTAATGCTAGGTTTGGAATTAGAAATGACCAGACAGCAGCAGGTTTACTTCCAGGACGTTTCGAAATGAGATCTGGATACCCTGAGTGGCTCTGCATGAGCTCATGTAGCCATATGGAACCATTTTTAGGATCACAGCTTAAATTTGTCAATTCATTCTGATGGAGCTCTGCTGATGACATTAGCTGAAGATATATCCCATAACATTTTCGTTTCCTAATGTATATAAATTTTGATATAAATTTTAAGGGAAGATATTGTTTACCTAATCACTGTGGTCTTCTTTTTTTTTTTTTTTTTTAACAGAATGGAAAACAAATAAGCACTTTGGCAGCGTGGACATCTCGTGAGCTGTATCTTGCATATAATGAAATATTTAATAAAATAGCAGATACAACAAACTTAGCGAAGTCCTTACATTTTCCAGACAAAGCTTCTTTATCTATAGAGACTGTTAGCTATGACTCAATCCCATCTGAAATTTCAGTGTTGCTGATCTGCAATGGCTGCAGCTCCTCCAGACTGTTTTATCTGGCGTTTTATAGTGAAGACAGACAATTTTGGGGCTTAAGAGAGTTTTACTTACCTGCTCCTCACAGTTCTGGTATGAGGATGATATATTTGAATTCAGCATTATCATCTGGTCTGCTGTGGGACAGTGGGAGCGTTTACTACACCTATAGAAACAACACAACTAATGGATTATTTCAAGTATCTGGATCAAATCTGTCACTATCAGAAATGTCTAATGGGAGCACTATTCACCAGATTATTCTTGGTTAAGTATATTATATTTTAAGTAGTTATTAAGTATTTTTAATTAATTAAGTGATAAAGTAGAAGAGGAATTTCACGAAGGGATTACTGAGTTTCTTATTGTAAATGATAGTCATAGAATAATAGTTATTAATTTTATTGGCCTTTTAAGACTAAAAATTATTACTTAGATGGGCAGACGTATCAAGCAATTTTTTATTCTTCATGTAATGTTAACTATCATTCGGTATGATTCTACTAAGAAAACTCGACAGCTTTTGGCCTTAGCATTTGTTTCAGCAGGATAGCTGTATCTGCTCTCTGACTCTTCAGGGGGATTATTATTTTTGTCCTATTCTGCTTGATTCGAAGTTTAATGGCATGAAATCTGTGCTGTTTCTAAAGAGAAGGTGACTAAAATGGCATGACAGCAAAAACTTTTTCACTACATCAAAGAGATTATTTGGCAACCTTCTGACTTTTTAAGGCACCCACTTTCACACTGTAATCACGGCATCGTATTGACAATATCTGGAATTCCCAAGTAGGCCATGACTGTTATTAAGGCATAGTCCTTCCATTTGTTATTCCAGCCTCGAGAAACTTCATCAAGTCTCCTCTCATGGTAGCTGCTCAGCTTTAATGGGCAGTTAAAGAGGAATTCAACGAAGCAGGTGCCATTCATTCTACAGACTGTCTGTTGGATTACTTGAGTCACCCCGTGACTGTATGAAAGTCGAATCTGAATCTGTCTCTGCAAAGTTTAGAGTTCAGTAGATCCATGCTGCACGCTACCACAGCCATATCCTACAAAATTGTTCCTGAAACTTGGAAGATCTGATCCTACAGCTATGAGCTATTGTTCCAAACAAAACCCTTTCGTGAGTGCAGGATCATACGGGAAAGCCCTCTCAGGCAAAAATGGCTACCTCCAAAAGCCATAATAAGTACTTATTGGGACTAGGCTTACAACATGAAGCCCGCAGGCTCCTGGGATGCCCAGAATCCTACCTCTTTATGCAGCTAATGTGATGAAGAAGATGGATCCTAACAAGGTTGTGCAGTGATGGTTTGAGAGCCAAGCTCGTCAATGCAAATATAGTAACAGCTGAGAGAATACTTACAAAGAACAGGAAGAAGCTAGGCAGATTATGGCAGAGCTAGCCAACTGTGGCACAGTGCAGGTGGCAGGCCAAGGGTACTGGCAGGAAGACTTCTGAAGAGGACGTGCTACATATTTCTGCTAAAATAGCCTGTAGTTGTCTATAGAGGGGCTATGTCTATTGACAGTGCCAGGAGAGGAGGCCCATTGATAGTACTGAAGTGATTTTTCTTAGTGGTCCTTTTTAAAGAAAGTGCCTGGATTCGTAAGTGTAAGTCCGGTTTATGGAGACTCACAGAAGATTATACCTGAGTACCATTTCCCTGCTGGCTCAGGAGGGAAAAGTATGAGAGGGAACCCTGTTAATCAAGCTTCTAGCACTCTTTGTTGAGAAAGAGTTTCTGCCTCATGGCCACTGCAACTTTCCTTGCCTCTGACTAGAGCTGATCCTGAAAAAGGTTGTGCTGCTCTCACTGGCATAGGCTACAGGCAACTCTCTCCAAATGGTGAGACAGCCTGAGCCTCTGGCCTTTTTCTTGGCGGACTGTGGGACATTTAAAACAGGAGCCTACTTTAATAGACTATAGTTACACAGATCTACATGATTCAAAATCAGGCCCAGCAATATTCTCTGCATGAGATCATGACTGAGCTCAAAAACAGACTAAGTCTACAGGAGACGGAAGCAGGGACGGGCTACCAATACAGAAACATTGCCTGGATGTGAAGGGACAGAACTGGGAAAGCTAAAGCTTGGCTGGCATTGTAGCTGGCAAGGGATATGAAGGATAACAAGAAAGGCTTCTGTAGGTGCATCAGCAGCAAAAGGTAGAATAAGGAAAATGTGGGCCTGTTGCTCAATTGAGCAGCAGACCTAGTGACTGGGGATACAGAAAAGGCTGAAGCAATCCGTGCTTCCCCACCCTCCCCCAGTCTTTATTGACAAACTGTTTTCAGGCCTACCAGGTCTCCATTCCTCTTAGCAAATTTTGTGGGAGAGAGTTGCTATCCACAGTGTAGGAGGATTTAATTAGGAACTGTTTAAACTAGCTGGACTTACACAGTCCATGGGATCAGACAGGATACATCTAAGAGCGCTGAGAGAGCTGGCTGATCTCATTGCAGGGCCACTCTCCGATTGCCTTTGTACAGTTGTGGTGATTAGGGGAAAAAGGCAAACATCTCGCCCATCCCCAAGAAAGAGAGAAGGAGGACTAGAAGAACTACAGGACGGTCAGCCTAGCCTCAGTGCCCAGGAAGATTATTGATCAAATCTCCTGGAATAAATTTGTTGTCACAGGAGGGATGAGAAAGTAACTGGAAACAGCCAGCATGGATTTACCAAGGAAAATCAGGCTTTACCAATCTGCTCACTTTCAGTGATGAGATGACTGCATGTGGAGTGGTCTTTGGAATTCATTCCAAATTTCTGACATTATATCTGAATTTCATGTGAATTAGGAAATTATGTAATCTGTGTTCTTTTCCAACCTCTGTTGTTTCAGGGCTAAGCTGGACAGCAGGGCTATCTTCATCTGAATAGGACCAAATTTTTTAGATAAATTTCATTTTCATTCTTTCTGTTGTCAGAGGACTCAAAAGCACAGCAATCTCCTTACAAAGCCTATTCAGCTGAATCAAGCCCTTTTACAGAGTTATTTAAATAGAAGTGATGTCAAAGATTAAGGTATACTAATCAGAACTGAAGAATGTCTCTTTCCCAGACATCTGCAAACAGCCATCTGGAGTTCCTTTTATAATGCCATTGTAAAAGCATCTGTGAATGGTAACAGTATTTCTTAAGAGTAGTCCTGGGATAGTCCTTTTTCTTAACATATGTTGACTGCATATTATCTCTGGATATGAAGGAGGTACTTCTTGTAGTCACCATTGGTATGGTTGTTTATAAGTACTACTCAAAGAAAAGTAAGAAAGAGGGCTACTTACTGCTAATCAACTTCTCTGAGATGTGTATGCCTTTTGCATACCTCTTGAAGAGGACATAATTGAATTGTTTAGATCTAGAATTATGGGGTTTTAGGGACTACAGAACATATGGTGTGGTTTCTCCTTTATGTCCCTACATGCAAAGAGATGAGGCATAAGCATGCTTTATGAGTACTGCTCAAATTATATGGCTTCAGGTACTAACAGCACATGCATCCATAATGGCAATGTCCCTATGGGCAGTACATCTCAGAAAACTAGTTAGTGCTAAATAACTTTGTGTTTTCTCAGAAACATTCCTGTATTTGAAATCTGTGTAATTATCACATGATATTCCATTATTACACAAAATATTGTGCAGTATGGGAAGTATTTGGAAAAACTGATCGTTTGACAGACTGGTTTGTTCAGTGACTGTTTTATTAAAGAGGCTGGTCTCTCCCTTCCCCATGTGAGATCACACATGCTAATACTGCTAGAGTCACTAGATTAAAAATTGTACAATCATTAAAAGCAAATTAAGGAGTTTACCTTCGTTCTTCAAAGCGTGCTGCTTCTACCTATGCCAAGATCCCTCTTCTGTCCCCGCGACATTGAAATTCTAAAGCAAAATGATGCCAGTTGACAAAGGAAATGATCCTGCAAGGTCCCGCGGGTTTTTCTTTTTTCTGTGGGAGTGAGATTAGAGGACAAGAGATATGTCTGCCAGCCACTGGGGACTGCTTCTCAAAAGATTTCTCTCTAACTTGGGATGTATATGAAGGGAGTACATGTAGATACCATATGAGAAGGATGCTAGTTGTAAGAAAAAGGAGCTCTAAATAAATATAGTCATCATCTTTTGTACATTTAAATTACACAAATAAAGATGTATTGTTTCTATTTTTCTTTTTACAGACTACTTTGGAAATATTTTGATAAAAATGAAAAACAACATCTTCTTTTCTACAAAAACTGACTTGAGAGAATTAATTCGGCTTCCTGTATGGATAAATAGAAATAAAAAGATGGTCCTTTATTTGAATCCATCTGCCAGTGTATACATATTATTAATTGATGGTTCTAGAATATACCGCCAGACCTATCCTTTGGAAATTGAAGTACTTAGCTCTACAATTAGCTCTGAAATTTCTTGCTCAATTATAGCTTTTCAACACAACATGGATTTCAATGTCTACTATCTGGACATGGGAGATCAACTGACGTTTTGGTCTCAGATAGTTTTTGAGGAAAATGTGGATGTAAGTACATATCTGAAAGTCTACAGGCCAGACTTATTACTACATAAAGAAAGCAGCAAATATGAAGTTGCTCGTGGAATCTGTACTAAAAACGAGGTAAATTTTATTTAAAAGTGTATTTCTGTGCAGTTTTAAGTTTCTTTCCGCCATATTTTGCCATACATTTTCATATTCTGTGGTGTTTGTGTGGTATTTGGGACAGTCTTTATGTGTACATTGAAGGAGTGGGGAAAGGCTTTTTTCCACATGCATTCACTACTATTAAGACTTTGCAGCCCAGGTAGATCCATACAGATTAATTTTCTGCCAAAAGAACTATTATTTAAATATATTTCCTGGATTATAATTCAATAAGAGAAACCAGTACTTCTAACTATGAATTAAAATAGCACATTAACTAAGTTGCATCATCCCAGGTCTGCACTGTAAGTCTGGAAATTAGCTACACAATTTTGCAACACTAAGAATGCAAATTTAATAAACATGAACCATTAGTCACATAAGCTGAAAATCATCTGCCCTAATTTAGGCATAAGAATTGTTTTAGGCATTTTAAGTGTTTGTCAGCATTTCATCTCATTTATCTGCCCCCTTCCATTCTACTGCTGCTGTGTTTCATGAGTGTCAACATTTGGATGTCTAATGATCTATGGATACTCATAGTGTCTCTCTTGTGCACTAATCTGCTAATTTAGATGTCTACACCATAGTCATACCGTGCTGTGAGGCAGCTTCTGTTTTGTAAAGGTTTAAGTCCTTCCGTCACCCTCTGCAGGCTCACTATCTCCCAGGCATCTCAGAAACAAGACTCCCTTGTTAAGGCTGAAATTGAGGCCCAGCCACTGGTATAAAAATGCTGAGCTATGCAGGCTTGTTTTGGCAAGGCTCAGGGCAGGTCCTGGTCTTAAAGAGCTAGAAAATACCAGAAGTGGACGGTATAGATGAAGAGGATGATATGAGAGGAGGCTGGAGGCAGAATCAGCAGTTGCTGTTTGCTGTTCAGATAGCACACTCCTGAACATCCTCCTAGATGCAGCATTGTGGTCCTCTCTGATGAAGAGCAGTGGATAGAGTGTTTCCAGCTCTAGCTCAACGCTACGATGTACCTTTGCAGCCTTCCTTGAGACAGATTTATTTCCAGTCATGTCACAGGCATCACTGTCTTCCTCAAGATAAACACGAGAATGCCTTAACCATTGTGAGCTTTCAGTTCCGGACTGTCTATTGTCATCCCTAGTTGATCCTGAAGAAGCTTGTTGATGCCTTTGGCAAATTTATTGAGTCCTTCATAAGTTCCTTATGGACCTTTCACCTTAAAATCAGTTCACACAAGTTCCAAGATCAATGGAGGATGCTGCAGATTATGAGACAAACTTCAACATCTGCAAATCACCGAACAGTTCCAGCATATATGTTTCTAGCCTGCAAAACAGCTCCATGAAGGCAATGGCTTTCTGCAACAACCATCCTCAGCATCACCTCTTGATAGACATCTTTGCAAGTGGCTGAGTCTGTTCATGATGCAAACATCCCATCAGGCCACAACATCCTCTTCAGTTTCGGCAACTTTGGCAAGACCTAACTGCTTTGGTAAGCACTGACAAACCCCACTTCCACCTGAACCAAGACAGCATGGACAGACTCTTTACAAGATGCTGTACCTTATCTGGCTTGCTTCTGCAGCCACAGAGAGCATTGAATTCTAATAAGTTTTCTTCTCTACCATCTCCATAAAAAACACTTCTATCTTCTCCACCTTTAGCTCCTCCCCCTTTTTGAGAACTTAAGAGCCCATGCTGACAAGTGTTGCAACTGTGGTGGATTTTCAGTATTCCAAAACTATGATAGTGCTGGCTTTGTCAGCTTGAGGATAGCATGCAGTTTGGATTAACACTGTCGTCATGGCATGTGACATCCTCCAAAATGTGTCCCTCAAGCATGATCTGTCACTATCTGAAAGAATAAAACGGGCAACCTCTCAAACAGAAGGAGAAGAGACAACCTCCTAAAGTGGGAGAGCCAGACAGACCCAGGGACTAGATGAGACCATTCGCCACTGACAGCCTTGGAACAATGCAGCATAGACGCAGGTGACAAGAAGACGCTCTGTAGAAAGTAATATCCTGAACTCAACAAATAGGTCATATGGTTGTATACTGCATTTTCAGCCATCTAGACGAGGACTGAAGCCAAGGAGAATGGTATTGGTAATCAAAATTCACATCAATCAAAAATCACATAGGTAGGCAGTACTCAATAAATAAGAGATTTATTATGATAGAAAATTTGAGAAAGTCATGGTGAGGCAAAAAATAATGAAAACCATTCAGGAGTTACTGCTGGTTTTACTACATGTAATGCTGTATGGGATGGCTCTATATGACAAAGACACTTCTGTTTTCTTCATCCCCTCCAGTCTCAGAAAAAGATGTTTTCTTTGTTATGGGACTTCTTCCAGTGTTTCGGAGAATTCTGGAGTATTTTCTAGTATTACATAATATCTGCTTGAGGAACAGGAACTATATGCAGAGCTGACTATACTTGCCACCTGTATTGGGCAGAAGTGTCCCCCATCTGCCTGTGAATTGAGCCGGAATCTCCCTATTTTAACATTTCTGTGATGTGGAAAGAACTGGGTACATTTGGAGTGAAAAATTATTTTTCCTTATTTGAAAGTGAAAAGAGAGTTGGCATGTTTCACCCGGTGAAGTTTATTTGGCCACAGAAAATTGTAAATGTTGACTCTGGTTCTCTTCCTGTATGCACGTCTAATGCTGGTGTTCTTCACATTTGCATTCTTCAATGTGTTAACCAGTTCCACTAGCGGTTCAATGAGCCTTTCGTTATAGGATGTTTCTCCCTGTCATAGATGCAACTGGTCTGGATCAACAAGGCACATGTAGTTTGCCAGTGCGGAAAGTCAGACCTGCTCTTCATCCCTGGTCATGAAGTGCAGAGTGTATTTTTACTGTGTTTGGGAATGTTATTGAAGGAAACTTCTTGTGATGTTTTTAGGTGCTGTTCCTTCCCTTGTGCTGTACCTTTTATGCTAGGGCATTTATCTCAACTAAATGCAGGCTCCTGGTTTGTCAGATGTATCCACCTATAGTTTACATATCTAAATTAGGGTAGACGAATCCCAGCTATGCTGTTTGGGCAACTCAGAACCACATGAGTAGAGAAAAGAGTCAACCTCTCACTTAACATAGATATTGTGGTGGATGCATAAAAAATAAACTCCAGAAGTTGAATTAGACGTTTTTTCAGGTGCTTCAGATATCATGAAGATACCCTTCATCTCAGTAGAGGTATTGTGGTTTAAAGATTTTTACTCATTAGTTTCTTTATTCTGTCTCTTTTAGACATTTACATTTTATCATGAAATTGACTATACTGTAGAATCCAATTATACAAAAGCATTGTAAGTATCATGAAATTTATAAGATAAAGATAAGATAAACTTGATAATGTAGTTTTGATAAGTATGAATTGTAAGTGTCATGAGGACTATAACTGCCCTGAAAGTTATTACATAAATTAAATAATATAGTTGTTAATGGGAAAATACTACTTCTTGCTGCAATATTTCAAGGGCCATGCAGCTCTCTTACATACAAGTAGACATGAGTCAGATGAGGAAAAGCAAATAAAAGTATTTATAAAATGTAAATCAGAGACCCACTTGCAAGAGTTTATAAAGGTCCAGCTGATAGAAAACCACACACATTTTACGTAATGCTCAGATTCATTCCAACATTTCTTTTCATTCTTTATGTTCCAGCTGACAGGCTTTTCTGAATTCACAGTTTCCTGAATGAGCATCCAGCTGTTGAACAAATCTACATCCCCAGGTTATATTAACCGAAGAGGATCTTGGGTTGGAGACCAATCCTAACTCTCCCACCCTCACTTTCGTTTTGGATTTGCCTACAGCTTTATTCAAATCCTCTCACCACCTCTAAAGGTGTTATTGATCCTCAGGTTACTCAGGAGACAGTTCTGACCTTCTTCCAGACTATTAACCACCTTCTTTAGAAATGCAGATGTCCCTTTGACAAGCAAGATGCTGTTGTCTTTTGTACATGAGTGAATTAATAGCAAATTAATAGTCTACAGAACACTAAAAAACGTTTTTTTCTCATGTGGTAAGCCTATTTGCAAGTATCAGTGTAGAACCTTTCCAGACTCGGAACCATTTATTCCATAAAGATATATAACCAAGAGCTACATATATATACCAAGAGCTCTTCATACAAAGATGTACAAAAGATTAGCGAGTGTGGCGCATTACTAGCCTGTAATTACTAAGCCACTTCATTCTTTATGGGGCATGACTTCAACAACTCTCATAATAACCACTGCAACATGTAGCCTTAATACAGTTCTCTGGCAAAGGAGCTAATGGGATTTTTGTATGTATAAGAAAGGGAATATAAATGAGAGCTAAGAAGATATCGTTGATCTCATCAACGTGTACAAGTATCTGAAGGGGAGTGTCGAGAGGATGAGGCCAATCTCTTCTCCAGGGTGCCCAGCAACAGGACAAGAGGCAACGGGCAGAAACTGAAACACAGGAAGTTCCGTCTGAACCTGAGGAAAAACTTCTTTCCTGTGAGGGTGACTGAGCCCTGGCACAGGTTGCCCAGAGAGGTGGTGGAGTCTCCTTCCCTGGAGATATTCAAAACCTGTCTGGATGTGATCCTGGGCAATGTGCTCTAGAGGACCCTGCTGGAGCAGGGCGGTTGGACTAGATGATCTCCAGAGGTCCCTTCCAACCTAAACCATTCTGTCATTCTGTGATATATTTGCTTTGGTATATAGTGTTGATAAAGCTGAGACTAATATATTCTGTCCAGTTCTGATGTTCCCTGATCAAGAGGAATCTTAACTCTTAAATTAAAATACTGAGAAGGACTTGAAGATCACAAAAGGGATGCAATGAGTGGAACAAAAGTTTTACAGTGTGAGGCCTAAGAACATCAGTTTGTTTTCCTTATTTTAATAACAGAAAGAGGTCATTGACCTCAACATAATGTTTGCAACTCTGCATTAAGAAAATGAATATAATTTAGTGACAGGCTTAAGTGTTCCATCAAGGAATAACATTTCTAGGAATTAGAAAGGTATGGTTTTCCCCAGTACACAATGGCCAAAATGTTTTCTGTGACATGAGGGTGTATTTGTTTTCAGCTCTCCTTTGAAGCATCATAGTTTGACCATAGATGAGTATGATACCAGAGAGGATAAAATCTTTGAATCTTCTTCAGCAATTAGCACAGATTTTATACTTTGGAAAGCTGTCCTATATTCTTCTGGATTCTTCCACCAACCATCACCCATGAGGCCCTCACTGTCAATGAATGAAGCAATCTTAAATTGCAGGCGTCTGCATCTTTCATCTCCCTCTCCAGAAATATGAGGACTTGGCGGAGAATACCAAATTTCTCTTAGCTACAATGGTAGTCACCTATGCCATTGGTAGTAACAGTGATGCATAAGAAAGCAAGCAGTTGAAGAGGTTTTCAGGTTGATCCCTGCACTTAGGGAGAAGGACTGTAAGGGACTGGATGCCTTGAGTTAGTACACATGCTTCTCTGTCTCCTTCCAACTCAGGTTAGCACATTTTTCAAGCCAACAGTGCAAAGTATAAGCAGAAATTAGTTGTGGCTTTTGAGACAGTTCTCCGTGTGTCTTGCTCAAGAGCCCCTGTGCAGTCAAATCTGGTAGCTTTCAGGCATGTGACTTCTGTAGTCACTTTTGTGATGTGAATCTATCTTTGAGCCCTTCCTAAAAGGGTGTTTTATTCCTTCAAATTTCCTCTTCCCTGCTCCCACCCACCAACACATTGTTCAGCTTCTCTTTCAGTATCACCTCTTACCTGTAACGGTGGCAGGATCCTAAAAGTGTGTGTGTGACTATATCATTCTACCCTGTTTTCCTCCATCCAAATCAGTCATAATGGATTCCTTCTTGGCGAGTTAGAGAATTCATGCAGTTGATTTTGGTCCAACATTCAAGGACAGATGTCTTGACATTAATATGCCAAAGCATAGAGCCATAAAGACCTCCATGCACATCTGGTGATATCAACACTGTACTCTGCATCCAAGCACAAGGTAGCCTGATTTCTCCTTTGTCAGAAGTGGTTGATCTTTCAAAGTTTTGAATCAAGCTTCCAATTCAGCTCCGGTATTCTCCTTCCAGGAGTGCTAAATATGCTGGTGAGCAATCCTTGCCATTTCAGAATCTCAGATCACAGATGGGAAATACAATCAAGCGTCTTCAACACTCTTTTTCAGGACTGAAGATATTTTGAAAATGATTTCTTTATGAAAAGCTACAATAGAAAAGGCCAGCTAAGTATTCTGTTTTAGGGCTGCGTGAATCAACAGTCTCTGTCTCATAGATTTCTGATTCAGTGCCACAGCAGGTTGTCTTATGCCTTTCATCTTGTCTCAGCACAAACCAGAGTTCTGCAAAAGGTGAAATCAGATAGGATCTGTGTGATA